AGAAAACACTCTGGGTTCTCCACCCAGGTTCTTTGAACTGCAGGTGCACTCATCCTCCAGCTGCTGTGTGTTGGCTGCTAAGGGCTCACAGCTGCTCACAGCTTCTTGGGAATGTCCTCATCCAGGAAGTTATAAGTTGCCCCCCTGCATTGGGCAGCCCATAGCCAATGACTGATGGATATGGGGGGTACAAAAGTCTGGCCCCGTTGCCTTAAGGCAGATTCGCTCTGCAATGTTATTAATCCTCCAGACCTCCCCACAGGATCAGATTGAAGCTAATCTCCAACTGAGAACCCACCATTACTTAACATTTCCTCCTACCTTATCTGCCTGCCTCTCTCTCTTCACATGAGAGCCCTCCCTCAATAAATCACCTGCACGAGAATCTCAGGCACTGCTTAGGGGACCTAACCTAGGACAGGCACACACTAAGGCAGAGCTGCTGGGTCTCATCTTAAAATTTACTGTTTCCAAATTTCTCTCCAAAGTAGTTGTACCAATTTACATTCCCACCAGCAGTTTATAAATATTGCTATTCCCCCCCACCACATTCATCAATACTAGTGTTATAGATTAATTTTGCCAATCAGATTGGTGTAATATGCTATCTAATTTTTGTTTTAATTTTCATTTCCATGCTTACTAGTGATGTTGAGAATCTTTTTCATATCTTTATTGGCCATTCAAATTTCTTCCTCTGTTATTTGTCTGTTCATAGCTTTTGTCCATTTTCCTATTGCTTTGGAATGTTTTGGTAAATTGATTCTTTGAAGTTGGAAAAAAATTTTTTTTTTTAAATTTTGGAAACTAATTCTCTCTTGGTTGGTTGCACAGTTTACCAATATCTTCTCCCAGCTGTGGCTTTAACAAATTTATTTTTTGTCATGTAGAAGTTTTTGATTTTAATGAAAGAAGATTTATCATCATTTCCCTTTATCATTTGTGCTTGTTGTGTCTTGTTTTCTACTCTAAGATCGTAAAGTTATTTTCCTGTTTTCTTGTAAAAGCTTTATAGTCTGCTTTTTCACATTTAGGACTTTGATCAACCTGGAACTTACTTTGTGAGTGGTGTGAGCAGGAATCTACTTTTATCTTTTTCCATGGGGGTATTTAATTGTCCTAACATCACTCACTGACTACCCCTTGCCATGTTTCAAACATTCATATATATTTGGATCTGTTCCTAGACATCATTCTGTTCTTTTTATCTGTTTCTCTGTTCCTGGGACTAAGTCAAATGATTTTAATTATTAAAGCTTTAGAGTAATTATTGAGATCTGGCAGGGTGCAGTTCCCTTCCTCTTCCTCTTATTTCTTCTTCAAAACTGTCTTAGCTATTCTCGGTTCTTTATTATTCCATCTACATTTTGGGATGACCTTGTCGAGTTGCAGAGAAAACCTCATTGCAAGTGTTACTGGGAATAAAATGTATAGATTAAATTGGAAGCTACTAGTCAACTTTATAGCAGGGAGGCTTCCCATCCACCAGCATGATTTGTTTCTCCTGTGGCTGTTATTCTTTATCTCCTCTGCATTCCATCCTTGCACAGGGCGCTGCCTAGGAAATGAATCTCCAAACCCTTCTCATCCTCCAGTGCCCAGCTGAATTCTCTCTCCTCCAGGAAGTCCTTGGTGACAGCCCTGGTCCTCCAGGCTCAATGTCCCCCACACGCCTCCTCTAACCTCACTTAACCCCTCTGCATGCACCATTTTCTGGACACTTAGCCCCCTGGATCCAATTGAGGGAACCATTTTTGTGCACTCTGTACCTCCGCCTAGAGTTCCGCTTTGTATCCCCAGTGGCACACACTACCTAGTAGGTGCTCTGTAGGTCCTACCGAGATGGTTGGTCCTTACGGAAGAGAAGTTATGTAATAACAGGTTCTTCCTCATAGGAGACAGCTGGTTCCGAGGGGTGGTGCCTAGATCGGAGTTTAGAGTTTCAGGGGGAAACACATCTGGCTTGAGCTCAGGCAGATCTAGCTTACATGATGGTTCTGCCACATGGGACATTGGCCTGAGCATGATTATTAGTGAGATTGTAGGAAACACATTAAATGTGTTTTCTCCATGGTCCCCCTTTCCCAAATTGAGGGAGAGGCAGGAACGAAGACACTTCCCTCAGTTGGAGGGGCTACTGGAGATCATTTACTTGTTCATCAGCAAGACCCCAGGGGTATCTTCCCCAAATGTCTGAGCCATTGACCCAAATGGACACAGTTGGGCTCTGCTGCCACCACCCTCTCTCCTGCTGCTGTCCCCTTTCTCTGGGAGCAGAGTTGGGTCCTCTGCCTCTTGATGTAACTACGGAAGCTGCTTGCATCCTGTCTTCCCTTCCTTGCCCCATAGGACCCAGGTCTCTCAATGGGCCCCTTGTTCCCAGGGAAGCTGTCCCATGAGACGCTCTTTTCTCATGCATTCCTCCTCCAGGGCTGTCCTTCTTCCCCAAGAGAACGCGAGGCAAGGGCGATGCCCAGCTACAAGGGATTGAGCTCCAGTGTTAAGCACCATCTGTACCTCACAGAAGAAAGAACTGGGGTCCCATGGGGGTGCTTCCTAGCAGAGCATGAGCTTTGGAGTTGGACAAAACCTGGGTTCCGATTCAGACCCCCCAAAACTGACTTTAGGCAAGTTACAAGACTCAGCCTCCTCTTACACAAAATGGGCACATGAATCCTACCTCCTAGGATAGATGAGAAGACCAGAGAGGGGAAAAAATATGTATGGGATGCATACAGTAGGTGCACAGCATAAGGTTGGTCCTTCCTTACCAGGAGAGGTCAAGGTTGTAGGAATGGGAAAAAACGGGGGCCACAGGCAAAGATGAGGCAGAATTTATTCTCAATGTGGGTAAGTACAAGATTCAGGATGGAGACCACAGAGAGGCAGATCCCTGGGACTGTGAGGGGCACCTCACACTGGGGGCAGGGGCCACACTTTCCCAAGTGCCAGGCCCACTCTGTTCCCCCTGGCTGTGAGGATACAGAGCCCAGGAACTGGGTGAGAGTGGGGTGGGGGTGGGAGGAAGACAGGGTCCTCCCCGGATCGTGTCCTGACCATGTTTCCGACTTCCATAGGAAGGAAGAACAGCTCGGCTATATAGTAATATAATATATAGAGGTGTAGAGAGCTGGCCGCGGCACCTGGGCGGGGCTGAGACTCCCCGAATTATTGCAGGAGGGAGAGGGGGCTCAGTGCTGGTGTCTCCGTGGAACAGCTGTGCTGGCTACTGGGAGGGCTGGGCAGGGGGCGGGGCTGAGCTTGCCCCTCCCTCGGGGCCGGCAGGGGTAACCCGGCATCCTGCCCAGTGGGGTCCCTTGGGCCCCCGCCAGCTTCCCCTGGGATGGGGCTTTCTCACCCTGGGTGCTTCTTATGTGCTTTGAAGACCATTTTTGCATTGTCAGGAGTGAGGAAAAAATATTCTGACATGGTAGAAAAAGATATTTACATACCCTGGTGGGCCGTTAGAGGGAGGGTCAACTCTGAGTGGGGGGCGACTTCCTCCTCTGTGCGGGAGGACGTGGGGAAAAAGCCCCGGGAGGAGGCTCAGCTCTGAAACTTCGCTGCCATGTGACCTTGGACAAGGCACACTCCCTTGGTCTGCCCGGAAGGTGCAGGAGGGGTGGACTTGGGGCTGAAAAACCAGGATGTTTTGGTCCTTGTTCCTAGGTGTGGGTCTGGGGGGCAGGCCAGGGCTGAGCAGTGAGGTCGGCAGAGGGACTTGCAAGTGAGGAGCCCTAGGCTGTGCAGGGGCATCAGAGACTAGAAGGAAGTTGGTGGGCCCTGGCCCCTGGTCAGGTAGCCAAGTTCAGCTGAGGGCATCTCACGTACCCTGTGTTGATGCCTACACAGAAGGTGGCCAGAGGGGCTGGCCGGGAACCCTGTTTTCCTGTTGAAGCAGTGGTGGGAGCCAGGTGGAGGATGCAGGTGGCCCCCCACCAGCTAGAGGGAGGGCTCAGACCTGAGATAGAGCGGGGGGTGGGCTCACCTGGGCGGAGACAAGGGTGGGCCTGGTGCTGGTGTGGTTTGGAAGTAGCCCCTGGCTCCAGCCTCCAGGCTTGGGGGAGGGGGGTGAGCTTCTCCCCAGTCCCTGTGGGTGCTGGGACCTGGGCCCACAGCTGATGGGCAGTGTCACACCGAGTTCCCTGCTCACGCATCCTCACGCTGTGACACGCATCCTCATTCATGACATGCCATCCACAGTCACACACACGTGCCCCCAGCATTAACGAATAAGCACACTCACCATAACTGGCACACATCCACGGGGGACCTCATGGGTGGACACACACACACATGATCACACGTGTTCACAAGGGCTCCTGTGACCTCGTGAGAACACACCCCTACAGCATGTGAGTGCGTGCACACAGGCACCCTCACGCACACGCACACACACACAGAGGCAGGTGAGCGACGTCGCTGTTGGGCTCAGTGGCATTGAGGCCCCAGCCTCTGGGAAAGAGAAGGCCCTCTGCCCTGGGGGCAGCTGTCCCCTCCCTCCTGGGCACCAAAGGTCCCTTCCCAGGTGGCCTGACCCCAGATAACTCCAGGTCTTGTGGTGGAGTCCTCGGCCTCCCTGGCACCTGAGGGGAAGGCAGCCAAGGAGGAGGGACAGAGGCCTGGGGTGGCCAACCCTGCGAGTCCTCTGACGGCCGGCATGACCCGGGGCTGGCTCGGTTTGGTCAGAGGTGCCGGTGGGGCCCCTGCGTGCTGGTCAGCTGGGCCCTCATGGTCTCGATGCTGCCCAGGATCTTCTTCTGGTGGCCCATGAGGGTGATGCCCAGGGCATGCACATCCCTGTAAAGGAAGGCGGTGCTGACCTGGGAGTCTGGGAGCTGTGGAGACGGGGACACACCCATCCCTGGAGCTGCCATCCTCAGCGGCTCCACCTCTGGCCTCTCCCCCTGCTCCCGTCCCCAGGGGCCCACCACTTACTGAGCATTCATACGTAGCACCATGCCCAGAGAGGAGTAACCCCCAGCAGCGAAGTGGTCCCGGTAGCGGCCCATGCGGATGGAGTCCAGCCAGTCCCCCACGGTGAGGCCCCCGCCGCCACCCCCGCCCCCGCGGAGGTCAAAGCAGCTCCGGGCAAAGGCGGGGGGTGGGCACCTGAGGCACAGGGGCCCTTGGTAAGTGGTCTGCCAGGAGACACTGGCGCCAGCCACTCAGCCTCCATCTAGGCTTGGCAGTGGCAAGGAGGGTCTGAAGGGTTAGACCGCAGGCTTGGAAGTAGAGCTCTGAACAGGGCTCAGAGGACCAGGCTGGGTCTGGTCCAGGGGTCAGGGCAGAGCCACCCCAAGGCCTGGACTAAGTCTGGGCCTTGTCTAGGGCAAGCGGGGAGGGCAGCTGGGGCGGGCGGAGCTGGGGTGGGCAGAGCTGGGGTGGGCGCCAGGCACCTGTTGACAGTGGCCGTGGCCCTGAGACTCTCAGGGCTGCGGATCAGCGTGTCCAGGACGCTGACGATCTGGGAGAAGCGAGGCCTCTGGGCCCGGTCCTTGTGCCAGCAGTCAAGCATGAGCTGGTGCAGGGCGCGGGGGCAGCCCATGGGCGCGGGCAGGCGGTACCCCTCCTCCACGGAGCTGATGACCTGTGGGGGGAACACGGCAATGGGCTGGAGCGGCCCTTCCCTCCGAGGCCCCGGCCGCCTCTGCCCAGCCAGGCTCCGGCACTCACATCCCGGTTGGTCATGTTCCAGTAGGGCCGCTCCCCGTAGGCAAGCACCTCCCACATGACCACCCCAAAACTCCACACGTCGCTGGCCGAGGAGAAGGTCCGGAAGGCGATGGCCTCGGGGGCTGTCCAGCGGATCGGGATCTTCCCTCCCTGCGACGGACACACGAGTGTTGAGAGCTTCTCCCCAGCTCGTCAGGGAGCTGAAGGCAGGGATCTGGGCTGGGAAACTCGAAGGCTGGCTGGAGAGACACGGCCTCCACCTTCCAAGAGCACCTGTTCTGATGGGGGAGACCTGCACATGGAGCTGGTGTGGAGACTGAACAAAAGACAGTGGGTGGAGGGCCTGGCACCCAGTAGATGCTCAGTAAGTATCAGTCAACAGGTTGATGCCTGAACAAGTGACGAAGCTCGGAGAACGTGGTCTAGTAATTTTCTAGCTCCCCTGGAGGGGTTGTTTTTGGTCACAAAATCCTTTCTCTAAGTGAAACCTTATTTGGAGTCTCAGTGGGCGAGATCCTAAGGGAAGGTCCTGACAGAGGCAGGGGTGGAGGCCCTCCACCCTTAAGGCAGCCCCTAAAGCACTGCTAGAGAAGCCCAAATCCCCCCAGAACACATTTTGAAAATGCTGGGTTTTAGTCAAACGTTAGAGACAGACGTGGAGTGGAGGCGGTTCAGAGAGATGCCAACTCTCCCCAAAAATCCTAGTGAGTGAGTAATGGGGGGACCGGCCCTGGTATCTTCGCAAGCCAGTTAGTGACGGAGCAGAGGTGGGAAAGCTTTGGTGCAAACTGAGGTGCAGAGAAGAGGTAGGACTCGCCCCAGGTTGAAGGCAACCCTGAAACGTCCAACTTCCCTAACGACACGTGGGGGGCTCCATCCCAGGGCCTGCTGGAAAGGGGGTGCGGGCTACGCACCGTGGTGGTGTAGGCGGCGTCGGGGTCATCCTCCAGCACCCGCGAGAGCCCGAAGTCAGACACCTTGCAGACCAGGTTGCCATCGACCAGGACGTTGCGGGCAGCCAGGTCGCGGTGGACATAGCCCAGGTCCGAGAGGTAGCGCATGCCGGCGCCCACTCCTCTGAGCATGCCCACCAGCTGCATGATGGTGAACTGCCCATCGTGAGTCTGCAGGGGGACGTGGCTTGGGCTTCAGGAAGGCTCTTTGCAGTTTACAAAGTGCCTCACTGCTTAGGAAGCATATTGCTGTTTAAGGTTTGTTCTCACGTCTCATTTACACTCACAGCAACCCTGAGAGGTACGTAGGGTGGCAGTGACTGGTCATCCACTTTGCAGAAGGAGAAATGGAGGCCCAGAGAGGTTTCGCCCTGTGCCTAAGAGCACCCAGCAGATGAACGGCACGGCGAGGGCTGGGCATCTAGGAATTTCCACCACCACCCGCCATGCCTCCCAGCTGACTGGGGCCCTGGGTCCCCACAGAGGCACCCCTCTTAGCCTGTGTGCAGGACAGGGCAGTAGGACCCGTGCAGCAGAGGGACTTCCACGTGATGGGGGGCTGAAAGGCAGTTTGATGGGCTGACCTTTAAGACCCCTCCCCACACCTGGCTCGCCTTCCCCAGGTCTGTTGGGTCCAAGCTCTGGGGAGGAGGGGGTATCTGGAGGTCTCACATTATCTCCCACCACCCAGACTGAACTTCCCTCCCCCGGCCCAGGTGAAAGGAGTGGCGGGGCACGCACCCTCAGGAAGGTGTCCAGAGAGCCGTTCTCCATGTACTCGGTCACGATCATTGCCAGCTGGCCTGGGGACGGCGCCAGGGAGGAGGTGGCTCTTGGTGGGGGGATCAGGAACATGCCCCCCCGCCCCCGCTATGAGCTGCCAGGAGCTGGGCCAGCACCCAGGGCCCCAGGGAACGTAGGGTTTCCACTGGGGTTCCAGGCTCTGGGCCCCCTTCCGTGCCAAGTCATCTGGGGACCTGAGCCAGGGGGATGGGGCAGGGCAGGGTGGTCTGGGGATGCAGCAGAAGGGGCCCTGCAGGGTGAGGCTGCTGTCGCCTGGCACCTACCACGGGTGACGACACCTTCAAGGCGGATGATATTGGGGTGGTCAAACTGGCCCATGATGGATGCCTCGCTCAGAAAGTCCCGCCGCTGCCTCTCCGTGTAGCCGGCTTTGAGGGCCTTGATGGCCACGGGCATGTCCCGCTGCCCCGGCACCTGCAGATGCCCGTAGCAGACTTCCCCGGACTCTCCTGTGAACCCAGGTGGGGCAGGCAGGGGGTGGGCGGTGGGACCTTCCTCCCCTCACCCCAGACTCTGCACTCTCCCAGCCCCACACACCCGAGTGTCTGGCCATGCCGGGCATCTTGGTTCCCCCGTCCCTCTGCACTGGGTGTCCCTCCCCTGGGCACCCCCTGTGATGTCCCCACACTCACAATCCCTGAAGCTCACCGGAGCCAATGATCTTCTCAATGTGGATTCTAGAGGCCTCGATCTCGCGGGTGAAACCGCGGCCCGCCCGGCCCGGCTCCTCGTAGGTGTGGGGTTCTGCATAGAACTGGGGCTCTGGGATCTTCCCCGGAGGGTGGTGCAGGGGCAGGAAGACGGGTGGAGGCGCTGAGGGGCCAGGAGAGAAGGGCCATCGGTGGGCTCCATGAGGACATTCTCTCCCAGCATTCCCTGGGCCTGGGACGGGACTGGTGGTGGAGTGAGAAGTGTCTCTGGGAATCCCAGGATGTGGTGGCAAACAGGTGCCCAATAAGTGCTTGCCCAGTGTAAGCAGGGTCTCTGTGGAGTAGCTCTGAGCTCTCTAGGGGACTCTGGGATTTCTCGTGAGTTGTGAGCCTGTCTGTCATTTTTCTGGGGTTACTTTTAGGGTCCTTAAGACCTTTCTCAATTGTCCTAGGGTAGGAATGTGACCAAAAAAGGTCACATCACAGTGCCAACTCAGACTGATGGAAAGCGGGTCTCTAGAAGACTGTGTTAAGAAGGATTCTGAGACCGCATTCAGGCTCCATGGGAATCAGTACCATGATTGATTCTGCCGTGGGCAAAGAAGTGGGGCATTGAGGTAGGCATCCCCATATTTGCCCTGTTTTCTGAGGTTTCTGCAGGGTCCTGAAAAAGTTCTTTGTAGCAGGGGTTCTTGTCCAAGAGTATATGACCCCCCAAAGGTGTATGTGAAATTGTGCGTGAATGCCAATATCTGTGCATTTCCCTGGGGAGAGAGAGCGTCTGTAGCATCCTCTTCAAACCCAGGCAAGTTGCACAGCACTGCACCTCTGGGGTCTCAGGTCTCTGTGACAGCCTGCCATCTCTCTCTGGGGCTCTAGCCTTTTCTGTGGGCGCCTTTCCCCTTCCCACCTGCGCCACCCCCAAACCAGCACTGGGTCCTACTGTGGCCTCCGCTTTTGCATTCAGATCCCTGGGCCCTGCACTCACCCTGCCCGTTCTGATAGTGCATCTTCTCCTCGTCCGAGTGCTGGAAGGCCTTGCTGTAGCCGCAGTGCCTGTGGAGAGTGGACTGTCCCTGGTTTCAGCCCTGACCCCGTTCAGGAACACGTCCAAACTCCTCCCTTCTACCCCCCTTCCCCTTTCAGGTCAGCTTCTGCCACCCCAGTCCCTGCCCCTGCAGGGGGGCAGTCCCAACCTCAGGCTCTCAACCCAGCTGAACTGTGACACTTATAAACACCATATAATTTACAAAATCAAGTCCACTTGGCCCTCACAGCAAAGTCTGTGGCATTATTAGCTCAATTTTACACGAAAGCACCCCGGGTAGAGGGGCTGGGAGACGAGGCTTCTGAGGCCAGCTCCGCCATGTGAGCTTGGCAAGCGCCTTCCCTTCCCTGGACCTCAGTTTCTCCATCTACGGATGCTCTTTCCAATCCTTGCTGAGTGGGACCCTAAGCCCGCACCACCTTCCTCTGGAACAGAGTGGGAGGGGGAGAGTAACTAAGGGCGTGGTCTTTAGTTTTAAGAGACCTGGGTCCTGTCCCACTTCTGACACCTACTTAGTCGGTGGGCTGGTTTGGGGGTGCTGTGTGTCTGACACACATCCGAGTGGAGATGGGGCTGGGCAGCTGGGCCTCAGGAGGAAGGCCTGTGCTGGGGGCACACCTGGGGCATGTCAGCGTGAAGGCAGAATTCAAAGCCGTGGGCCCTGATAAGGTTACTCAGGAGAGCTGGAACTGGGTAAGTAGGAAAGAGAAAAGGGTCCCAGACCAGCCTGGGGCCCTCCTGCTTTCAGGAACTTGTGCAGAGAAGGGGCTGGAGGAGATGGAAGACAGGCCAGACAGGTGGATGGAAAGTGGGGGGTGAGCCGGACATGGAAGGCAAGAGAAAAGCGTCCCAAGAAGGAGGAAGGAAGAACAGGTATATCTGTCAGTGAGCCCAGGCACAGGGGATCACTGGCTCAGCAGGGCTGGGGACAGGCAGGAGACACAGTGCTCCAGGGGAGGGGGTTGGGGTGGCCGGGGGCCAGGACCACCCACCTCTTCTTGCAGATGACCAGGAGAAGCAGCACGACCAGGCCAGTGATGAGTGTCAGGCAGATCCAGACGATGGTCCGGGTGTCGTAGCGGGGACCTGTGGGGGGAAAGCAGGCTGGGGGGCCAGCCACTCAGCCCTGGCCTCAGGGCCAGAGGTCTGGCGGCCTTCCCGGGGCCCGGCGGCAGCCTCCTCAGCTGTGAGCCAGCCCAGAGCTGGGGCGCAGGCCGCATCCTCCTCTGCCCCACCCTCCCCTCTACAAGTCTCCCCTTCAATATCCTGCTTTCCAACCTGGTGCCACCACTTCCTGGGACTGTGTAACCTGGGCAGAGTCACTAGACTTCTCTGAGCCTTAGCTTTCTCACCTGTAGTGTGAGTCCAGAAACGCCTGTCCTGCCCGTTACTGTAACAGCGACAAAGCTGAATATACCGAGAGCCGCACATTCCAGCCAGTAACCCACATCCCTTCCAGGGATAACCCAGTATTATCGTGAGTTGTCAGATGAGAAAACCGAGGCCCAGAGAACTCAAGGAACTTACTCAAGGACACACAGCAAATGGGATGGAGCCGGGCAGGATTCCTACCCGGGCGGTCTCAACATGGTATCAGACCTAAGAGCACTTGAGACACACAAGTGCCAAGGGGGTGCCAGGTTGAGGAAGGTCATCAAGTCAGCCTTGAACCATCTGTCTTAGCACTGCCCCCCTGGAGGGTGCTGAGTATAGGAGAAGACCCCAACTGGCTGGAGATGGGGGCAGGGGGTTCCCAAGCTTCAATGTGCCTCAGAATCGCCCTGAAGGTATGATCAAACCAAAATTTCTGGGCCCCCAGCGCCAGGGTTTCTGCTTCCGAAGGTCTGGGGTGGGGCCTGAGAATCAGCATTTCTGATAACTCCCAGGGGCTGCAGCTGCTGCTGGTCCTGGACTACACTGTGGGAACCACTGTTCTGGAGGCAGGGGGTGCAGGGCAGGATGATACTGGGGAAGGGCACAGAGTTTGTCCCCAAGCTGACCAGGTTCAAGTCTTGCTCTGCTGGGTAACCTTGGGCAAATCGCTTTACTGCTCTGACCCTCATTTTCCTCACCTGTAAAATGGGGATGTAGATATTGCCAACTCACTAGAGGGTCTCTGGGACGATTATAAGGTAGTCCTGCTAGCAAAGGGCACCATGATGCCTGCAAGTCACGCTGATGCTCGGGGAAAGCCTGCAGTTGATGGGCTGTTACGAGCTCTGTCACCTCGGGCGTGTAACTTTCCTTCTCTGAGCCTGTCTTTTCACCTGTCAAAATGCTGATTTGGCCCACACACCAGCTCAGCATGCACTCGTTCCCCTCCTCTGACCACCACGACCCTGGCCCTGGCCCTGGCGCCTGGCCCAGCTCCCTCGCCCTCCCCGCTCCCTGCACTCACGGGGTTTCCCGGTCTCCACCTCCATGGCCTGGCTGAAGCGGCCGCAGCCAGCCGAGGTGCGGGCTCGGACCTGGAACACGTAGCGGGTGCCCGGCTTGAGGCCCGAGACGGTGGCCCTGGTGGTGACAGCCTTGAGGGTGGAGTAGCTCTGCATCTCCTTGTCCTGCCCGTGGGAGGGGTGGTCAGCCAAGGGTCCCCGGCCTGGTGGCCTCCCTCTTTCTCCCTTCCCTGTGGGTACCTTCTCGTAGTACTTGATCTCGTACTCCAGGATGATGCCATTGGGCTGCTCTGGCTCCTGCCACAGCAGCGAGACGCTGGTCTGCCCCGCCCGCTCCTGGCGGATCACCACCACCTGGGACGGAGCTGGGGCAGGGGGAGGGAAGGGAGCTCGGTCAGGTCAGATGGGTGGACGGGTGATGATGGGGAAGGGCCTCTGTCTGCTCCTTCCTCAGGCCCCGCCCAGGTATGCTGGCTTGGGCCACTCTCACCTTGCTAACTGTCCTGCCGCCGCCCCAGGAGAGCCAGTACCCTCTGCTCCTCCTGGCAAATCACTGGCTGCCACCCTGGTCAGTTATCTGGGGGTGGCACAGCCTGGCTCCCAACTGGGATGCCGGGGTTGGCTTGACCCAGATGAGGCCTGACCCCGCAACTTCCACTGTCTCCTCCTCCTCTCTGGCCAAGCCCACCCACTGGAAGCATGCTGGACCCCCGCCAGCCCCATCAAGCAGCCGCACTTGTCGACCCTGAGGCCCCATCACCTGATGTCTCTGTCTCCGTGTCACCCACCCCCGCCCAGCGCCTGGTGTGGAGCATGCTCTCAGGAGCACTGAGGAAGGAGGAAGAAAAGGAGAAGGGAGGGGAAGAATCAAGGGAACCAACGCCCTCACTGCCTGGGCTTGGAGGGACATGAGTTGAGCCTGAGGCCCATGTGAGCTCAAGTATTCTCGAAGTCACACTAGGTCACCCTTTCGCCCCCTTGCTCATTCCCTCCCCCACTCCTGTGCTCAGTGCAATTACCCCTGAGGTGAGTCTGTTGGGAAGGGTCGGATGTCGACCCAGCCACAGCCAAACCGAAGGGACTGCCCTCAGAGCTGCAACCCCGTCCTCCCTGACCCCTCCAGCCGCAGCCCTCCCCTCTGCTCACCCGAGTTCCGACTCTGCCCTACTCCTCCCGTGCCCCCCACCTGCCCCATGTGACCAGCTCTGGCCTCATAACTGGGCATCCCATCTCTCTGGCACACGTGGGAGCTCCCCGAGGCAGGGACTGCACATAGCAGATGCCCAATAAATGCTGCTGGACGATGCTGACATGAAAAATTAAGAAGCGACTCCACAGTTAAGCTGGAGGGTGTGGAACAGGGGAGAGCCCACCAGCCTGGGAATCAGGTCTGGCTTCACAACCCGGCCCGTCTCTTGCTGGCTGGGCCCATGACTACCTCCGGGCAGTTTCTCCACCCAGAAAGTGAAGCTGCTGGGCACCAGCTGCCAGGCGGAGGTGAGGCTCAGAGAAGACCACTGTACGTGCGGGACAGACACCAGTGCTAGAACACATGGGTGCCTCTTAAAAACCAAAAAATTTGCGAGGCAAGAGGTGCTGTGTGAGTGGGGCAGACACAGAGGGAGGCTGGGGCTCAGAGGTGGGACGGAACAGGGCGGAGCACCAGAGAGGGCTCCAGGGAGGAGGGGGGTGTAGAGAACAGGCTACGGGGAGGCCTGGGGAGGGGGAGGGGCAAGTGGTCTCTGAGGACAGACCTCCCGCATTTGCTCAGGGCTGCTGTCTGCCCCAGGCCCCCAGCCCAGAGCTGTGGGTGTCCACTGCATCATCTCCCTAGAATTTCCTGAATGACTCCCACGTGCTGGGCAGTGGGCTAGGACCTGGGGATACTGCAGTGCCCGACAGCCCTCAAGGAGCTTATGGTCTAGTTAAGAGAGACAGAGTTAATAAGAAAACGAATCAATGCATAATTACAGGTATGCCAGGTGCATGGAAGACATGAAGAGGGTGCTGTGATGGAGAGGACCTTACGTCTGCAGGGGCTCAGGAGGGAACGGGGCCATTTCAGCTGAGGTGGTCCGGGTGGGCCTCCCAGAGGCGGCGGGACAGCTAACTGAGGACTGAAGGAGGCAGCGAGGGGAACGTCACGGGGAGGAGCACGTCATTCCGACCGAGAGGCAAGGCCAAGGCCCAGGGCAGGGAAGGGCATGGTGTGTCCAAGGATGAGGACCCGATGCCAGTGTGGCTGGAAGGGAGAGAGCCCGGCGACAGTGGATGGGGTGCGGCTGGGGAGGTGGGCAGGGGAGGGTCTGATGGGTCCCCTGAATCATGGTGCAGAGTTGTCCAGGCAACATGAGATGGACTGAGTTGTGTCCCCCTCCCAAAATTCGTCTGCTGAAGCCCTAACCCCCAACACGATAGTATTTGGAGATGGAGCCTTCAGGAGACAATGAGGTTTAGATGGGGGCATTGATGCCTTTCTAAGAAGAGACACCAGAGAGTTCTTTCTCTCTTTCCCTCTCTCTCTCTGCCATGTGAGGACACAGCGAGAAGGCAGCCGTCTGCAAGCCAGGAAGAGGGTTCTCACCAGGAACCAAATTGGCCGGCCCCTTGACCTTGGACTTCCGGCCTCCAGAGCCGTGAGCTGTAAACGTCTGTGCTTTAAGCCCCGGCCTATGGTATGTGTTATGGCAGTCTGAGCTGACTAGGACCGATGGCATGTGTGTGTACGGGGTGGAGGGGTTGGAGTGTGGAGGGGGTCACGCTGAAGGGAGACCCAGTGGGACTGGCTGGTGGGAGGACGAGGCACGAGGGAGGGATAGCCAAGGATGACGGCTGGGTTTGGGGCTCAAGTAACCCCACGAACAGCAGTGCCACGTCCTGAGATGGGGGCCTGGGGAAGGGGCTGGTTTGGGGGTGCTATGTGTCTGAAACACATCGAGTGGAGATGGGAGTGGGCAGCTGGACCTCAGGGGAGAGGCCTGTGCTGGTGACACACTTGGGGGACATCAGCACGAAGGTGGAATTCAAAGCCGTGGGCCCACTCTGGCAAGATGGAGCTGGGTAAGTAGGAAAGAGAGGAGGGTCCGGACGTGCCTGGGGTCCTCCAGCTTTTGGGAATTTGTGCAGAGAGAAGGGGCTGGTGGAGATGGAGAAGGACAGGCCAGAGAGCTGGATGGAAAGTGGGGGGTGGGCTGGGCATGGAAGGCAAGAGAAAAGTACTCCAAGAAGGAGTAAAGAAGAGCGGGGGGTGGGAGGGTGGAGTGCCCACTGCAAACTGAATTTCTGGGGATAGGTGGGCAAAGGCGCCCGACTGGAGGTGCCCGAAGAGGCCCACAGAGGAGAGGACGCAAATGTGTGAGCAAGACAGCTCTTTAAGGAAGCTTCCATGTAAGTGAAGGAGTCTCGTGGCTGGAAGGGTGTGCAGGCTCACGGGAGGCTGTTCTTTTTTTTTTTTTTGCGGTATGCGGGCCTCTCACTGTTGTGGCCTCTCCCGCTGCGGAGCACAGGCTCCGGATGCGCAGGCTCAGCGGCCATGGCTCATGGGCCCAGCCGCTCCGCGGCATGTGGGATCTTCCCGGACCGGGGCACGAACCCGCATCCCCTGCATCGGCAGGCGGACTCTCAACCACTGCGCCACCAGGGAAGCCCGAGGCTGTTCTTTTTAATGATGGAGCACACGGAGCAGTGTGAGTGCCGTAGGTTCTCTGCTCCGCCCTCCACCCCTGACCAGCCGGACACCTGTCTTGGCCACCCCAGAGACACGTGGGCAGGGGTGGGGCCTGGCACCACGCACAAGGGCCTAGTCCTCATTGCGTCACTAGCACTGAGCAGAGAGCTTGGCATCTCACAGGTGCTCCACAGGTGCCAGAGGAATGAGGGTCTTTTGGGAGGATGAAGCCCTGGCGTCAGGGACGGGGTGCCCTGGGTTCAGGGTTGGGAAGCCTATTTCACTTGGGAGTGAGGCAGACCTGGGTTCGAATCCTGACCTGCCGCTTCTATGTGGTGACCCTGGCTGGCTCCGGGCCTCAGCTCCTCCTCTGTGACACGGTGGGAAGGGAGTCACTGAGCCAGGCCTGCGTGGTGTTGGGAGGAGACGGGGGTGGGGAGCCACAGGGCACGTGCTAGGGGCGCTGTTAACAGGGAAGCTGCCACAGGCGGCCCTCGGGTCAGGCTGCCACTCGACAGGCAGGACGCACCAGAATTTGGAAAGAAAGGGGCTAACTTCAGTCCAACAACTGGCTAGAAACAGAGAGATAAGTGGTTGTCGTCCAGACCAGTCTGACCAAATCCATCCCAGGGGCAGCAGTGGCAGCTGTTCTGGAAAATGATCATCAGAGTGATTTGATATTTTAATGACATTTATTGAGCACGTACCGTGGGCCAGGTACCGGGCTAAGCATTTTCAGTTCCTTCATTTAAGCCTCAGTAACAGAGCAGGTATGATTACTCCTATTACAACAGGGAGGAGACAGAGGCAGAGAGGGAAAATTCTAGAACCCAGGCCTGGGATGGTCATGCTAGCCTGCCTCTGTGCTTTTTGGTTTCCTTCCACTTATGGAACATGTTTTACTTTTCTAAGGGCGCGAAGCCTGTAGCTCAGAGTCCTGGTGAGGAAGGCGGAGCCCAGAGAGGCAGGCGCTTGCCCAAACACCACAGCGAGTCCGCGCAGTGCTCGGATGCCAGGGGGGACAAAGGGCCCGGGAGCTGGGGACGGGCGTCTCCGCCTACCTGCCTGGTTCGTGGTGATGTTGACGACGGCAGCCCGGCGGGGCTCTGGGCTCAGGTCGGACACACCGTTGACGGCCTCGATCCAGAAGGAGTAGTTCATGTGGGCCAGCAGGTTGGCCACCAGCAGGCTGGCCTGCACCAGGCTGGTCTGCTGGGGCACGAAGCGGGTGCTGCCCCCGCACGTCTCGCAGTGGCCCAAGGCCCAGGGGCAGCGGCGGCACACGGCATTGTAGGTGATGTCACTGCGGCCGCCCCGGTCCAGTGGAGGGGCCCACTCCAGGGTCACAGAAGTCCCATTCACGCTGGAGATCAGATTCACTGGTGCCGAGGGGGGGCCTGGAAAGCAGAGAATGACAGGTGGGCGTGGAGGGCATGTATTTGGGCTGGTCTAGTCTCCCCCATCAGGTCAGGGAAGGGCTGTGGTTCCCCCATGATACTTGGGGCCCCCTAAGGATAAGGGCACACCTACTCCATCCTCTGGAAGCTCCCCGAGGGCAGAGGCAATGTCTCTGCCATCAGATTGGGAGCACAGTCAGGGTCTGGGCACAGAAGCCGCCCTTCCCCCACCCCACGTAGCACCACCTGGATCCTGGGGTTTGTGCTTCACAAGATTTTCATCCAGAGCTGGGGAGAGTCTGCACACAGCAGCTACCCGGGGTGTGAGATGCCCCAGTCATCTGCATCCCCCACTCCACTCCTTAACCCCCTGGCTGGATTTAATGTCAATGACACCGAACACTGTGGTGGAGAAAAGCAGAGCCCCGTGTGCCAAGTGACCCCTCCCCACTGCCCAGGACGGGAGCCCCAGTCTGGGCAGCACAAGGACACTGGAGAGAGGGGCGGGGCTGGGGGCTGGGAGTCGGGGTAGGATCCTGGGCGTGGGGATTTGAACCAGGAGGGCCTGAGGGGCGATGGAATTCCAACTCTCAGAATCTCAAGCTGGGAATCTTAGATCTTAAGAAAATAGAATTGTAGAATCTCAGAATCATAAAGAACCTTAGAATCTGCAGGGTGTGGAATACTAAAAGCCTAGTCGTTTACAATCTTAAGATTCCTAGAACTGGAGGGCACTGGATTGTGGATTTGGAGAGAAACTGGAGTCCAGCCAGCTGAGTGCAAATGTTTGTGACCTAGAGCCGGGCTCACCTGGCCTGAGGAGCCCAGAGCAGTCACCACGCCCCTCAGCAGGTCCCACATGGGGCAAAGGCACAGGTCTGGGCACAACAGGGGAGGGAGGGAGGGAGGGAAGAAGGGTTTACTCGTGCGTGTGTGTGTGTGGTGTGGTGTGTGTATCTGTGTGCAGTGTGTGTGTGTGTGTGTGTGTGTGTGTGTGCGTGTGTGGTATGTGTGTGTGTAGCAATGTGAATACACCTAGGCCCTTACCTGCCCTGTGCAGGGGGTCTGGGGAAGGGTGGTGATGGAAGTTGGGGGAGGGGGAGATGGAGATCAGGTTGGGGTAAATTCTGGGGCAAAACCCGTCAGCACCGAGTAAAGTACCCCTCACCCCGTCACAAGAGCCCAAGGCTGGTGAACAGCGTGGGCTGAACTGGCTGCAGCTCCTCCCCAGCGGGGGTGGGAGTGAGAGGCCCCTTTGGGCCAGGGGATGGGAGGCCACGGAGGAGCTGCATCAGCAGAAATGCCAAGACAGTCACGCAGCCCTGCAGGCACGGCGCCGGAGTCCCTGAGTCCCCTCAGGTATGGGGCATGCGCGCTGCCGCCTCACCATCTCCAGGCGCACACCTCCCTTGCAGGGCCAGGTGTGCCCATGCTGAGCTCCCAAAGCAGGCTCGTTCAAGCTCCACGGGGACCATGAGTCTGTTCCAGGTACCCAGATGCACACACACGTGTGCACACACCCCTCTAAGAACACTTTACACATGTGGGCACAAGCACTTGAACACTCACACTCTGTGCAGGCATCTTCTGCATGAACTGCTACCGACAAGGACACACACAGTCATGATCGCTGTAGGCCTCCCAAGGCACACACAGAATCCGACACACGCAGCCACACCGACTCCATATACACAATCATGCACCCCCCCCACTACAGCAGCTCCCCGAATTCTGCAGCTCCCCCCAGTCTCTCAAGGATGGCAGTGATGCGGGGCAGGGGTGGGGGCGGCTCCTCTGATGCCCGCCTTGTCGCACAGGCAGTCCCCCAGCTTGCCCACCCCAGCCCCCAGGACACTGGCATGACCCTTGGGTCAGAAGATGACCAAAGCCACCTGGTGCTGGGAAGGGCATGAGTCCAGTTCTGTCCTGCCCTTTGGAGCAGAGAGGAGAGACCGAGGGAGGAATGGAAAGATTTCCATTGGAGAGATGGCAGGTGACCTATGATTTCCACTGGAGAGATGGCAGGTGACCTATGACAAGAAGCTGGGAGCCCAGAGAGGTCAAGGCCATTGTTGAGGGGTCAGAGTCACCCCCCATGCCCAGACTGGCCCCTGGCCCATGAGAGCCACCTGTCCCTGCCTCACCCACTGAGACCTGGCTCCCTGGGAGCTTGAGGGGCCGAGCATGGGGTCCTAGCCTAGTCTCGAGGGTTCTGGGGCCACGGGGTGGTACTCACGGGTGCAGGCTGCAGACGGCGGGTCCAGGGCTGCACGGAAGTAGCTGAGGTCGCAGCGGCAGGCCTGGGCGGCAGGGGCTGCAGAGTGGCTGTGGGGAGGGCAGCGGGCGCAGAGCTGGTCCCCGGGGGCCGACTTGTAGAAGCCCAGCTCACAGGCTGTGGAAGAGAAGGAGGCTTCAGGTGAGCCTGCCGGGCCACCCTGATGGGCCTCAGGGGCAGCTCTCTGGCCCCGGGGTTCCTGGGGGATCCCCTGAGGGACAGAGGTGCAGACATTCAGCATCACCTGTTCCTACTCTCATCTGCAGATGGAGGGACTGAAGCTCAGAGAGGGCCTCTGACTTACATAGGGTTGCACAGCGAGTCGGAGGCAGAGCTGAGGCTGGGACCCTGACACCTGAGTCCCAGCCCCATAGTCAGCACAGGGCGGAGCCTCTCTGAATCCTCCAATGGCCCCTCCCACCCAGGCTCTGTCGTTCACAGGGCACTTGTCCTTGAGCGAGACACCAGGCTCAGGGTCAGGGGTCAAGGCTAAGAATCTGAGGGGGGCCGAAACCCCAGGGGTGTGACCTGAAAGCCGGAGAGGGCATGGGGGTGGGGGAGGAACGTGACTGGAAGAGACGTGTGTGATGAGACCAGAGGTTCCCAGACACGGACAGGCGTGGAACCATCCCTATAAAAACACAGACCCTGGCCCCATCACAGCCACTGAGTTAGAAGAGCCAGGGGTGGGGCCTGGGAATCTGTGTTTTACAAGCGCCCCGAACAATGCTGATCGTCCAGGAATTGCAGGCTCCTGACCCTCCCAGTCTCACCGTGGCTGATCCGATATGTTTCTCGTATCTGACCTTCTCTCCGGCCTCTGAGAGGCACACACATCTTGCTCCTGATGACCACAGCAGCCTCCAAACCTGGCCCCCAGCACCCCCTCCCCAGCCCCACTGCCCGCGAGATGACTATTCCTTTAGCCAGTAACTATGAGCACCTATTCTGTGCCAGAGACACAGCCACAAACAAGGTCCACATGGCGTCTGCCCTCAAGAAGCTGGCATTTTTCAAGGTGGCAGGGGGAGACACAGTAAATGAGGCTGTGATCATTTCCAGAAGGAAATAAAGCAGAGGATGTGGCAAAGCGTAAATGGTGGGAGGAGCAACCTTCCCTGAGAAGGTCTTTGAGTTGTGGCCTAAAGGCTGAGAACGAGTCAGCCGTGCAGGAAGTGCGATGTTGTGGGTTGAGGGACTCTCTAAAATGACACTGCTGCTGGGCCAAACTCTCACAGGCTCCACATGGCCTAAACAATAAAGCCTGGTGTTCAAAGCCTCCCTGCAGCCTCCTTCAGGGCCACTCCCTCTCCCTCAGGCCGAACTAAAGGACTGGCCATTCCCCACACTCAGGAGTTGTTTCCTGTCTCGGGGCCTTTGCACATGCTGTGCCTTTTCTTTTTGTCACCCTGTCGAATTCTTTCAAGATTCATTTTAACTGTGCCTTTGATGAAACCTTTCTGGACCGCTCCACGTCTCCACATGTACACACACACACACACACACACACACACAGAAGCAACCACTCCTCTCCTCATCTTTGCATCCCTGTTCGGTCTCACCACCTGCAACATTATGGCTGTGCTTTTTCATCTGTGTGTCTGACTCTCTCTCCTTGTGGGTAGATCCTTGTGAACAGGGCAGGGCCGCCTTATTCATCTCAAAGTTCCTAGGGTCTGGCTCAGGGTAGAAGTTGTCAACACTGGTGGGAGTTTTCAAAGTGAGCTAATCCGGCCATTATCTGCTCTGGGCAGAAAGACAACCCAGGGGTTCAGGAGGACAAAATGCTGCCCAGCCAGGCAGCTCCCAGCTCCATCTGTGGAACTGAACTCCTCTGCAACGGGGACCACCAGGAAACTCACTGGGATCTCTCTCCAATAAGTCTCTTTCTAGAAAACTCAGTGCTTGAGAGAAGCTTCATTTGCAAAGCTATGTCACTTATTTGATCGTACCTCTTTATCGTAATAGCTAAAATTAGGTTAATTTGTAAAATTCGACAAACTTGAGAGAAAACCTGAAATCAGGAGAAATGATGATGCCCTTAAGTTGCTTCCCAGACTCAGAGGCCATGGAGCCAGAAGGGGCTTATAGGCTGGGAAGTCACCGAGAATGTGCCTCAGTTTTGAGACCTCTTTCCTGCCCCCTGGGGAGACTCCAAGAGGGCTCAGGCCTGACTGGGGGCTGGGTGCTTGGAGTTGTGGAGAGGGTCCTAGTTGACACCCTGTGATCTCCCCTCCTCTTCCCAGAAGCCCGGGCACAGCCTAAGAGCTTCCTTCTGAGTCCAAGAAGCAGAGGAAACGGGCTTTGCACTTCACCAGCAAACATTTATCGAACCTGTGGCTGAACTGAATGACACTCTTCCTCACTGTACTGATCGGGTCCACCTTGATCAAAATCTCGGGAACCGTTTGCTTATTCTGTCCTTTATTTATTCCTTCACCCATATTTACTGAGCCACGGACCGGACGTAAATAAGACCTAGTGTTGCTTTCAAGGAGCTGTCAGAGCAGTGAGGGGCAGACCAGGACATGTGTGGTGACATCTTGGTGTGATGCATGGCACAACATGACAGCCTTTGTTTTTTTTGTTTTTTTTTTGCGGTACGTGGGCCTCTCACTGTTGTGGCCTCTCCCGCTGCGGAGCACAGGCTCCGGACGCGCAGGCTCAGCGGCCATGGCTCACGGGCCCAGCCTCTCCGCGGCATGTGGGATCTTCCTGGACCGGGGCACAAACCCACGTCCCCTGCATCGGCAGGCGGACTCTCAACCACTGCGCCACCAGGGAAGCCCCAGCCTTTGTTTTCTGAGTCCCTGACCATTCAGAGCTGTGCTAGTCCTCGGGTGTTAAAGAGCAGAAACTTGGGAGCAGGCTGCCTGGGTTCCTTTTCTTTTCCAGCCCCTTCCCCTAGGCTAAGTGACATTAGGCAAGTTGCTGGGCCTCTGTGTCTTCATCTGGAAAATGGGGACAATAATAGTTCCCACCTCCGAGGGCTGTTGTGAGGATGACAAGAGTGAATACACGTGAATTCACACGATCACAGCGCCTGGCACTCATTACCACTGTACGCAGTCAGCATGTATACGTCTGTTTGGCAGAGAGGAAACAGAGGCTGGGGAGCTTGAGTGCCTCGCCCCAGGGTCCCCGCTGAGCCAGGATGCAAACCCCAGCCTTTCCCCCACCAGCCTCTCAACACCCGGCCTCTGCTTAGAGACGGCCCCGCCATCCTGCCACTTCACCGGTGGGCGGTTCTCACACGCTCGGCTAATACCCATATGGCTATAAAGTGTCAAGGCTAGATTAATCCGCTCAATGAAAATAAAATAATCTTGAATAAGAATACTAATCACCAGGCCTCGGGGAGCCCGGAGACCTGGAGGCAGAGCCGGGAATTAATGGCCGAGACAGATGGAGCGGCTCTGGGCTGGGGCCCGGCCCTGCCCGTACACCCAGGGCGCTTCCGGAGTCTGCAGTGCCCGGTGTCGGCCGTGCGCCAGGAGGGGCTCCTGCCCCTGCCGAGGGCACCTTGCCCAGGCCGCCTGTCAGGCCGGCAAGCTGATGGAGACCCCGGCCACCTCTCTCCTCTCCCCCACGAAGAGCTTGAGATTTGACAAATAAGGTGTCTGCTGGTGGCCGACCAAAGGAAATTAATTTTAAATCAGATTCTGAACACAGTCAGGAAGGCAAAAGAGCTCGTTGTTCATGCGGCCCCTCTGAAATGAGATGCTCTGATATTTATAGAAAGATGATTAGGGCCACAGAGGGTGGTTCATATTCTGTGTCCAGGTGACAGAAAGGACGGTAGCCAGGAGACTCTGGGGGCTGCTCTGTTGGGTGATGTTCTGAGAGGTCCTTCTTCTCTCTGGAGGGGGTGGGGGGGATGCAGCCACGTGTGGGGGGAGGTCACTGGGTCAGGAACTGGGTAGTGTGGGGAGCTTTCTGGTCAGGGGGTTGGGAGATTTGGGATTGAATCAACCACTACTAGCTGTGTGTCCTTGGGTCAGTCACTTCGCCTCTCTGGGCCTCCATTTCCCCACTGGTAAACTGGACTAGCTCCACGTGGCTCTGATGTTCTTCTGTGGGTCCCTGAGGCCCGAGTGCAGTCTCCATAAGGATGCTAAAAAGCCATGTGATTGGGCTGGTCCCCCCTCCTGGGCTTTATTGTCTTCTCCGTAAAAGCAACTGCTACTCAGCCACTCCTGAGGGGAGCCTTGAGGGTGAGACTAGTGAGATGGGAACCTGGCAGCTGGGAGGGTGGCTCTCTCCATGGGCCTGGCCGCTGTTGCAGCCCTCAAGCTCTGGGTCCCTTCTCCTATCATCAGAAGGAAGGCGGGGGGGCACTCGGGTGGGGGAAGCCGGGACCCCCTCTCCCAGCCCTGTTTGCTCAGACAGAACTGCCCGATGGAGAAGGCCAGGGCCCCTCGGGTCTCAGGAGGCCTCGCTCAGGCTGGGCAGGGGGCTCCAGCTTTGACAGGCCATCTCAAGCAGCCCAGCAAAGGCACCCCCAGTCTGTATCCAGCTCCTGCTCGTGCCCCACCCTCTCCCACTCTCAGGCTACCCACTAGGGAGGCGTGGGGATGGGCGACACTGCAGGGCCGCTGGCCCAGGCCTCCCATTGGGGGAGGTCCTCAGTTTTGCACCTGTGCTGTTTCTTTGAAGGAGGTTAACAGACAAGCACCGAAGCCCACCTACAGGGTTAAGAAAAGTCTCTCCTCGTGCGATTTAAAACCGGCATCCCCCTGGGCTTCCCTGGTGGCGCAGTGGTTGAGAGTCCGCCTGCCGATGCAAGCAACACGGGTTCGTGCCCCGGTCCGGGAAGATCCCACATGCCGCGGAGCGGCTGGGCCCGTGAGCCATGGCCGCTGAGCCTGCGCATCCGGAGCCTGTGCTCCGTGACGGGAGAGGCCACAACAGTGAAAGGCCCGTGTACCGCCGGCATCCCGCCCCCAAACGTCACTGCCTGCAGTGCACTATGAATTAATATTTTTTATAAAACCTGTAATTATCTTGCAACTGGCATAATTATGCTGCATTGTGATTTAAATGTAAAATTCAAAATATGCTGCAATTCCCTAACCCTGCTTTGGCATTTCTTCATTATTTTTTATTAACGTGCCAGCAGTGTCAGGAAATGGGAGTGGCCTTGGCTTCTCCCAGCTCTGAGGAGGTCCCCCTGCTCAGGCCGTGGAGTTTCCACCAAGAGTCCTGCCCTTGACATGCTGTGGGTCCTTGGGCAAGACGCATTCCCTCTTTGGGCTCCACTTCCCATCTCTATCAAAAAAGGAGGCTGGAGCAGTACCTCTGAGTGAGGCCCCAACCCCGAAGTCAGGAGGAGCAGTCTCCCTCCTAAGGGCAAGGATGTACTCTGTACAAACAAGTGGCCTGCTGTGCTCACTGGCTCAATCCAGGGTTGGGGGCAGCTGACCTTGAGCAGGTATCTACTGGCTAGCCTGCCCGACTGTTACAGCTTATACTGTCCTGGTTACTAACCTTTTTAACGTTACCCCAGGGGGCTTCGCAGAGAGCTTTGTGGGCAGAGGAAGCAGTTCAGGGCTCTGGAGTGAGACAACACGGGGTCAGATCCCTACTCTGCCACTTAAGTTGAAGGGACTCAGTTTTTCATGTCTGTAAGATGGGCATATAATACCTCGCTTAGAGGAATATTGTAAGGATGAGAAACTGTGAACCCCCCGAAGGCAGGGATGCCCTGTGTCTCTATTCCTGATGCCTGGGACACAGTAGATGCTCAACAGAATGAGTAACTGACATAATGTGTACTATGTACTCATTAAAGTGCCTGGCACATGGCAAACACTCAAAAAATTGTCACAAAGGGACTTTATATCCCCATCCGAATAAGGGGATGTTGGGAGCAGGCTCTAGCGGGGAATGCAGTCAGGATAGGCCAGGGATAGGTGAAAAGCCTACACACATGGCTCAGAGTAAGACAGACTCAGAGCCCAGCTCCACCTCTCACCAGCTCTGAACCTAAGCAGGACACTACCTCTTGAGCCTCAGTTTCCCCATCTGTAAAATGGAATTGTAATACCTGCCTTGCTACAACGAGCCAATGAATGCATGTGCTAGGAATCCCCTTGCAAGCTGTATAGGCAACAGGGATGTTTGTTGTTATTGTTACTACCCAGAGGGAAGTTGAGAAGTACAGGGATGTCTGTGAAGGAACCAGGAGAGGCTGGAGGCCTGGAGAGCCTTGAAAACTAGGCCACAGAGGGTAGAACAAATCCAGAAACAGGCAAATGTCACAGAAGGTGCTTTGGGGTTTAGGGTCCAGGAGAGTGAAGACTCGTGGCAGTTGGAAGTATGAAAAAAGCTTTCTTAAGGAAATCAGAGAGCCCCAGAGAGGGGCCAGAAAGGGCCTGATGGCTGGACAGAAGAATCTAGTCCTGGAGATCTCGGGGCAAGATAACTCCTAAGCTGGACCAGGCTGGACTCTGAAGCTACTTTGCACATCACCTGAAACTGTCAGCCTGTGTCCTGCTCAGTCCTGCGAGCACCAAGGGGCCTTCCTGCCAGCTAGGGCAGAGGGGTGATGCTGAGAGGCCTGAAGGTCCCTCTAACTGTGGTCTCAGGGCCTGTGTAGTACCAGCAAAGGGCTCAGAGGATATTTCTAGTGTCTTTCAGGGCCCTGTCCCAGTTTTCACTGAGGCTGTCTGGGGACAGGCCCTAGTCTCTCTGATCTCTGCCCAGGAACATCTCCTCCCTCAGGAGAACCAATGGTCCCAGAAGCAGGCTTCACTGAGCTCTGAGTGCCATGTGTCTAGTCCCTGGGGAGATCAAGGAAGGGCAACCAGGTGGAGACCACTAATAGCTGGGGCACCAGCTGTCTGTGCACACCAGCCCTCCCAGGGTTCCTGGGCGGTCAGGATGCCTGGCTGCACTGCCCCCACATAGGGGTCTGCTGGCCACACACACATGCACACAGCCTGGGCTCTGGATCCGGCTCCTGGTCTGTGACACAGGAACCCCAGCAGTACACTGTGGGAACAGGAGTTATTTCATGACCCAAGTGCTCCTGGCCGTCCCTCCCCCCACATCCCTAGATAAGTTCACCCTGAACACAGGCAGGCTGTGACATGCCCACCCCAGACAGTCCTCCCGGGGTGCCCCTGCCCGCATAAGCTCACAATGGCCCTGTACGCCACACATTCGCCCTGAGCCCTGATTCTAACCCACACCTCCTCCCGCCCAACAGGTTAGAAGTTTAGTGGTTCTGAGCCCAGACTCTGGAGCCAGACTTCTGGGTTCAAATCATAGCTCTGCCACTTCCTAGCTGTGTCACCTTGGGCAAGTTGCTTTGCCTCTCTGTGCTTCAGTGCCCTCATGTTTAAAGCCAGGATAACAGTAGTTCCTGTTTCACTGGATGGTTGTGGGGATTAAATGAGTTAATACGTGAAAAGTGCTTAGAATAATGCTGGACATGTTAGGTCACATCACTGTTCCCTAGCACAGGCATGTACCCAGTAGTATTCCCAATCACACTGGTGCCCAGAGATGTACCTCTCTGGGTACATCATGATGCCCACGGAGGGTCCACCTGGTTGTGGTGTGTCTCCCACCCCACAGCACACACACAACACACACGTGGGTGGCCTGGTGACACAGGAACGCTGGAGGTTCACGCATCTTCCCAGGTGCTGTGTGCACCACCCAGGAGCTTGCTGACTGTGCCAAGCCTGCTCCCCGGCCCCCAGCATCCCTGCCCAGACTGAGCCCAGCTGCCGGCCCACCCGCACAGAGGCGCGCTCACCCACACAGGCATCCCGCCGCTCCTCGTAGCCCGCGCTGCACACGCACTTGCCGATGGGCACCAGCCACTCGCCCTCGGCGCTGCAGTACATTTTGGGCGTGTCCCGCTCCTCCGAGTGCCGCACGCACTGGCCCCGCACCTCCACCAGCGAGGATGAGTCGGCCCCCGTCACCGCCTCCGAGAAGGCGGCCAGGTTGCGCACCATGGTGGGGCACTTCTTGTAGTAGATGCGGAGAGACAGGATGGCAAGGCAGGCACCGATGTCCTGGAAGGCCAGGTAGAAGCCACGCTTGCTGAGGGGGCCCACACCTCGCACCTCCGTGTTGAGCTTGAGGCGCCGCACACCCAGGTCGGCCCCGGTGAAGCTCTCGTCGGCCGCGATGGTATCGATTTTGAGGAACTGGCTCTCCTGTGTGCTGGCGCCCAGGTCACGGTCCGACTCCAGGTAGTAGAGGTTGAAGGTCTCCTTGCAGGTGCCTAGCACGCCGGGCATGCTGTTGCAGTCCCGCAGGGTGAACTTGATCTCGGCGTAGACGCGCCGGGCGCCGTCGCGGGGCACCCAGCTGGTGCGCAGCCAGTTGTTCTGGTTGGGGCTCATGACGTTGCACACCTGGTATGTGTGGATGGGCCGGAAGGACTCGTCCACCTCGTTGATGGAGTCCCACTGCGGGCAGAGAGAGCACAGCCAGCTGAAACGAGAGGCAGCACCTGGCCCTCTCTCACCACAAGCCACATGCACTGTGCTGGTGGCTTCCTGGGGAAGAAGACGGAATGTTCTCCAGCCTCGAGGAGCTGACCTTCCAGCGGACTGTCAGCCAGATGCCGTGCACCCTACAGAAGTGATCTCATAGAGTGTCACATCCTTCTGGGGAAGTGTTATTTGCTGCCTTTGCACAGATGAGGAACAGAGGGGCTCAGACATAGAGCCATGCGTCTGGGGTCACATAGCTAGTGAGTGATGGAGCTGGGACTGGAACTGATGCCAAAGCTACAAAGCTCTGACCTCATTTCTGTATGGCTATTCCGTCACTCCCAGAGTGGGGTGACTTGCTTGGGGAAATCAGTGACCCCACTGGTCCAGCTTCCATATCACCTGCCAGAAGGACCTTTCTAATGCATGAACCTGACTGTGTTGCACCCCCCGCCTCAAATCCTTCAGATGCAACCCCTGCATTGGTGCTTGTTGAGTGACTGTCTGATGGATGGACTCCCTCTGCCTTGCTGTGTGTGATGTTTCCTCTGCCCCCAACCTAAGGCTGGGGGCTCACGGGCTAGCCTGGATCCCACGCAAGGGGGATACCAGGATGTGGGAAAGTTGAGTACGATTGCTCCTGTGCCAGGTGCTGGCCAGGAATCACTGATTCAGAAATAAACCAGTGACCATCACTGACACTATCAACAGAGTGAAAAAGCAACCCACAGGATGGAAGAAAATGTCTGCAAATCACATATCTTAGATGGGATTAACATCCAGAATATGTAAGGAACTCCTACAATTGAACAACAAAGAACCAAACAGACCTGTTAAAAAATGGGCAAAGGACTTGAATAGACATTTATCTCCAGAAGGTACACAGATGGCTAAACAGCACATGGAAAGATGCTCGACATCACTAAGCGTCAGGGAAATTCAAATCAAAACCACGATGAGATACCACTTCACACCCATTAGCTATTATCAAAACAACAGAAAATAACAAGTGTTGGTGAGGAACCCTGTGCATCGCTGGTGGGAATGTAAACTGGTGCAGTCACTGTGGAAAACACTATGGCAGTTTCTCAAAAAATTAAACATAGAATTACCGTAAATTCCTCTTCTGCGTGTACATCCCAAAGGAAACAAAAGCAGGGGGCACTTCCTTGGTGGCCCAGTGGTAAAAGAATCTGCCTTCCAATGCAGTGGACGTGGGTTCGATCCCTGGTCAGGGAACTAAGATCCCACATGCCGCGGGGCAACTAAGCCCGTGGGCTACAACTACTGAGCTTGCATGCCTCAACGACAGCCTGTGCACCGCAACTACAGAGCCCACGCATTCTGGAACCCATGCGCCACAACTAGAGAGAGAAAACCTGCATGCCACAACTAGAGAAGCCTGCGCACTGCAACGAAGAGCCCTCGTGCCGCAACTAAGACCCAAAAAATAAATAAAAATTTAAAAATATTTATTTATTTATAGGGACACAGACATTTGCACATCCATGTTCATAGCAGCCTGAAGGTGGAAACACGAATGTCTATCAGTGGATGAACTGATAAACAAAATGTGTCTATCCATACAATGGGATATTATTCAGTCTTAAAAATGAATGAAATTCTGACACTTGCAATGACAGGGAGGAACGCTGAGGACATTATGCAAAGTGAAATAAACCAGACACAAAAGGACAAATCCTGTATGCTTCCACTTATCTGAGGTACTTAAGTCAGATTCCTAGAGACAGAAAGTAGAGTGGTACTTGCCAGGGGCCAGGGGAAAGGGGCCATGGGAGTTACAGTTTAATGGATACAGAGCTTCAGTCTGGGAAGATGAAAGACTTCTAGAGATGGAGGGTGGTGATGGTCATATAACGTGAATGTACTTAATACCACTGAACTGCAGGCTTAAAAATGGTTAAGATGGTAAATTTTATGTTAAGTGTATTTTATCACAATTTTCTTTTTAAAAAAGAAAGAAATACACCAGAAATACTCCCTGCCCCCAAGCACCTCACGTCCTCACAGAAAAGGTGTGGAGGGTGACACATCAAAGGGAGTGGGCACATAGGGTATGGCGAACCTTCCTGTAGGCTGAAGCAGGACCCTCCTTCAGGGATGGGAGGGATGAGCCCCAGCAGAAGCTGGGAGGTGTAAGTAATGTTCTGCAAGCCCAGTGTGGACACAGAAGCGTCGTACTGAAGACACAGTGTTGTGAAATGATCTGAAAGTCCAGAGGCCTGGGTTCTGGGCCTGGGTCAGTCTCTAAATGGCTGTGTGACGTTGGGCAAATTGCTGCCCCTCTCTGGGCCCCAGCTTCCTCAGCTGCAGAATGCTGATCAGCCAGGGGCAGTCACTGTTGGGCTGAGTTCAGTGGACTCCGGAGGAGGAGGGGGAGGGGCTGGTGGCCAAGGGCAGAGGGAGGGGCCAGGCTCTGGGTCCCTGTCCTGGCTCCACCAGAGATGTAGCCCCTTGATCTCTCTTGGGCCTCTGTGTGTATTGTCCTTGAACTAGAGATCCTACTGCTTAAGCAGGGGGTCGGGGAGGGGAGGAAGGAGGTGAAGACCACGCCTCATGGGGCTCCGAGAATCTGCGGGGTCCTGAGCTGTCCCACAAGCTCTGGAGTGGGGACTGTGGGCATCTCAAATCTTTCCTGCCTGACGAAAGCCCCTCGGTCTGACTTCGTCTTGGCCAGTTATATATGCCAGTCCTCAGTGCCCTTATCTGTAAGAGGGGCTCAGAAAGGCCCCACTTCAGTGAGGCTTGAGAGGATGAAAGGAGATGCCTACAAAGTGCTTAGCTTGGGCCTGGCACAGAAGGCACCCAAGAAACAGGACTCGTATGATGCTGAATGGGCAGCCTCTTCCCAGCCCACCTGTGCCCGCCTCTAGGGACCACTGGGGAAGCAGTCCAGGGCGTGCCCACCTCACCTGAAAGGCTGCGTGGCTCCCGCACGCCCCACTCCAAGAAGGGCCCCCACGCTGCACCCAGCTCTGCAGCTGGGGCTCTGGGCAGCACTGAGTCACATCTGGGGTTAAAGTCATTGTCACAATTAATGGAGCACCAAAGAGCCAGCCAGCTGCTCACTGTCTGTTTCCTGCCAGGGACCTGGATAAATTAATCAGCTCACTCTGAGTCTGCTCCAGCCGCTCCACCAGCGCCAATGGCCTGGCTCAGCCCAGGGGCTGCTGCAGACACCCAGAGGGGCATAAATTCCTGGAGGGTGGGAAAGGGCGGAATCAGCCCTGTTCTCCATCTGGGGCACTCCCACCCCAGCCACCTCTCTGCCCCCTGGCACACTCCTCCTCCAACCCCCACCACCGCTCTGGAACTCTGTCCCCCTCCCGGAAGAGAATGCAGCAAACCAGCTGTGCGTCCCTGGGTATATCACATTCCCTCTCTGAGCTTTGGGCTTCTCATGGGTCAAAGGGCGTAGCTAATGCCTGCCCCTTTCATCTACTTCATCAAGCGAGACAATAAAAAGGAAAGTTCACGGGCTTCCCTGGTGGCGCAGTGGTTGAGAGTCCGCCTGCCATGCAGGGGACACGGGTTCGTGCCCCGGGCCAGGAAGATCCCACATGCCGCGGAGCAGCTGGGCCCATCGGACACGGGTTCGTGCCCTGGTCCGGGAGGATCCCACATGCCGCGGAGCGGCTGGGCCCGTGAGCCATGGCCGCTGAGCCTGCGCTCTGCAACGGGAGAGGCCACAACAGTGAGAGGCCCGTCTACCGCAAAAAAAAAAAAAAAAAGGAAAGTTCACGAATGGCTGTTAATTCACCAGGTAAGGTGGAGCACCACCCAGTATGTGGAAGGAGGGGTCCAAAGAGAGGGGCACAGCCTGGTTAAAAGCATGAGCTCTGGGGCCAGACTCTCCTGACCTTAGCAGAGATGCTTAACCTCTCAGAGCATCTGGTTTCTTGCCAGTACGATTGTCCTTTTCCCGCATCATCTCACGGATGAAAACTGCGTGGAACAGGTTCTGTGATCATCCCTGTGTTATAAACGAGGAGGTGGAGGCGAGGTAAAGCGACTGGCCTGAGTCACACTGTTGAGAGGTGGTACAGCACCAGCTCGTTCAGACCCAGCACCGCTGGCTTTAGGCCTGTGGCCTGGCGGGCAATCTGATAACTCTGATGCTGGAGACAGTCCTGGATGACCCTGCTACCCAGGGTGCTTAACAAACTCCAGAATCAGAAGGGTGGATGGAACCTCAAGGACCATCACTCTCCACCCAGCTGACACTTATTAAACAAAGGATGCCCAGGCCCCTCCCCAGACCCACTGGATGTGGGCATCTGTGTGTTTCACCTGCCAGCCTGGCACAGGTTCAGGATCTAGAGTTTGGAAACCTTCTTTCCCCTCTGGGCAACCCCAATCTCCAGGCCCCATAATGATGGGAGGTGGTCCCCGGCTCGGTAGGTAATGCAGCATTGGTTCCCACCCCTTCACAGGGTGGCACAAGGGACTCAACACAGGCTCCAGGCCCAGAGAGATCTGTGTTTGCGTCCATCGCTTGGAACCTGTCTGATGGTGGCTCTTTCTCATTGCTCTGAGCCTCAGCTTCCTCATCTGTGCAATGGGGTGGCTGCACCCACTTGCAGGATTGGTAGTAGGGATGAAATG